CACACACACACACACACACACACACAGAGAGAGAGAGAGAGAGAGAGAGAGAGAGAGAGAGAGAGAGAGAGAGAGAGAGAGAGAAGACAGAAGACAACTTGTGAGAGAATATCAGTTCTCAGGACTGAACTCATGTCATCAAGCTTGGCAGCAAGCTACCTTACTAACTTAGCCATCTCACTGGCCCATATCATTTTCTTCCTTCTACTGATATTTATTTTCCTTTCAGAGTAAAAGCCCTTACAAACATCGCTATGGTTGTGAGAGACCTGGGCCCTGCACTTGTCCCTTGGAACTTATCTGTCACCTCTGAGTCTGCTCCTTTCCCTCAGCCCACATGCTGCCTCTGCCACTGTGGAAACCCCCTGAGTGGGACTGCCTTAGGGTCTCCACACTCGCTCTCTCTGCAGCCCAGATACACGGCATCCAAAACCCACTTCTTCCTCTTACCTCCCTCAGGCCTGGCTCAGCTGTGGCCTTTTCAGGTTCCTGACTGGGCTTCTCTCTATTCAGCCTCTCCTTACATCTCACCTGTCCCCGTTGTGTTCTTTTCCTTGGTTACATGCATCTGTCTCAGAGTCGCACTTGGAAGTTTGCTGTCTGTCATCATAATGTCATGTGCACTATGTGAAAACAGAGGAAATCTACTGACAGAAACACCTCGGCCACTGCCTCGCACTTCCAGCAACCCACATGGACACTTGCTGAAGTAATGAATGCCTTCCCTAAAGTGCATGCCTAGAGCATTTCACATATTTTTCCTAAGATCTTCTCAGTTTAACACATTTGCTCTGTTGTAGACATGTAGCCATTCGGGAGATAAACAGGTTCTCCAACACTGACTGTATGCATAATTTCAGGGTTAGATGACAGTTTTGGTGGTGATAGGTGAATCCAGGTTATAGATAAGCCAGAAGGAGATGGGATTCCAGGGAGACATCACATCATATCCAGAAACCCAAGAAAAGATCCAAAAGAAATATAAATCCCTCCACATATAATATTCTTCCTATCTAAACATTAATATGTGCTTATGAGTTTATAATTCTTTTTATAAAGTCCTCATAAAATATACCCTAAAATTAAGCCACATGAGTAGCTGGAGAGATGGCTCAGTAGTTAAGAGTAATGGCTACTCTTCCTGAGGACTCAGGTTCAATTCCCAGCACCCACATGACAGCTCACAACTGTCTTTCACTCCAGTTCCAGAGGATCCAACACCGTCACACAAACTTACATGCAGGAAGAACACCAATGCATGTGAAATAAAAAGTGATAAATAAAATTTTTAAAAAATGAAGCCACATGAAACTTCCTTAGTAAAACATGTACACAAGTGTACCCCACACACTGTGACACGTGATTTGATGTCTAATATGCTGAGACCCCCTGCTGCTTCAAGTTCACCACCAACTCATTTAGTAACCCAGTTTCACCTGGCCTGGCTCACATGTGGCGAGTCTGGTTATACAGCTCTGTAGAAGGTTAATGAGCTAAGTACATTGTTGCCCTGCCAACAACACAGTATATGCCATATATTGCCCTTATAACGTAAAAGTCTTGAATTCTGATATTCGTCTAACTCGGATTTGTGTAAGACCTGGGTGCTTGTACATTTTTTGAAAATGCACTTTACTGAACTGAAGCCCACTCTCCTCTCACAGCCTGTGTAACTTTTGGTTCTTTTTGCTGCTGCTCTTGCTACATTTTTCCAGCTTTGCAAACCTGGGAATACTTCATGTAACTAAGAAAAAGGTATTTGAAACACTGGAGGCACGGATGACAGAGGCGTGTATACGGGGCTATAATCCTGGACTTTTGGTGCATTCTGACCTTGCTTATCTACAAGCAGAAGGTGGAGGAGACCGGCAGCTCACAGGTGAGCAACCTTGCCCAGCCTTCCCTAAGGCCTTCTACATCCCAAGAGGACGACTGCATCCATCAGTGTATCAGCCCATGGGGAAGGAGCTAGTGCAATTGAGTTGTTCTGTACTTGGCCCCTCCCTCATGCACAAAGCCTTTACACACTTATTCCCCTTCCTCAGTGCAGCTGCGGTGCAGTAGGCACATTCGCTCTATTGTCTCACGTGCTCCCTGTGCCCTCAACTCTCAGCCAAAGTACAAAGGTAGAATAGGGAGAAGACGGCGGGTGACAGTTGTCACAATACTCCAGAGAAAATGCAGTTTTCCTTTGGTGACTTTAATTTTAGACAATTTAGTGGGGCTGTTATATAAAATTTTACTAGCAACTGGAAGAATTCCAGGCCAAAGTAACCAAAAGGAGAAATAAGACCTAACCTACTAAATTAAAGATGAAAATTGGGGAAGCATTACCAAAGATACTGGTGAAATTCAGAAGATCCTTTGGGCTTGCTTTGAAAACACACATTCCAGTAAATTAGAAAATCTTACAAAACATCAATAAATTCAGATACATGTAGCCTGTCAATGTTAAACTAAGAAGATATAAACAACTTAAACAGACCTATAACAAGCAAGGAAGTTGAAGAAGTAATAAAATGTCTCCAAACAAAAGAGGCCTAGTCTCCAATGGAATCAAGGCTGAATTCTACCAGATCTTTGAAGAATTAGCATAAACTATCCTTAAACTGTTCCATAAAATAGAAAGGGAAGGAACATTACTGAATTTACCTTCTGAAGCCAGTATTAGCTTTATACCAAAACCAGATAAAAGTACAACAGAAAAAGAATAGAATAAACCAATCTCACTGGTGAACATAGATTTGTAAGTTCTCAATAAAACCCAGTTCATCAATACATTGAAAAAGTTTATCGACCATGATCAAGTTGGCTTCATTCTTAGAATAAGGAATGATTTCGCATATGAAAACCAATAAATGTAAGGCATAGACTTGAGAACAGAAATTGCATGTCATCTAAATAGATGCAGAAAGTTTGGGACGAAACACAACATCCCTTTATAGAATCTAAAAAAATAAGAGAATTATACCCAACATACTAAAGGCTATATACAATAGACATATAGCCAATAGTATACTAAAGGGGAAACTGAACAAATTTCCTTTAAAAGCAGGAATAAGACAAAGTGTGGACTTCCTCCATTCTTTCAATGTAGTGCTTGAAAACTTAACTAAAGTAAAAGACAAGAGAATGAAATAAAGGGATACAAATAGGAAATGGAGAGGTCAAAATATCTCTATTTGCAGACAATATAATCCTATACACAAGGCCCTCAAGACTCCACTGGAAAGCCTTAGGTCTGATAGAGTATCAGGGTATGGAATCAACATACAGAACTCAATGGCTTTCCTATATACCAATAATGAACATGCCAACAAAGAAATCAGCAGAGGTTACAACCAAAGTCTAGTGACAGCCTTTCACAATAGCTTCAAAATAAGTAAATCAGACTACTGGCAATAAACTAACCATGTGAAAAGGCCTTTGCAATGAACATTTTTAAGGCACTGAAGAAAGAGAAAGATGACAATAGGATGATGGAAAGATTTCCCATGCTCCTGAGTAGACATAATTAATATCACAAAAATATTAGCAAGAGTGGTCTATAGATTGAATGCAATCCACATCAAAATCTCAATGACATTCTTTATATAACTAGAGAAAAACTATCCTAAAATCCATATAGAAACACAAAAGACCTCAGCCAAAGCCATAGGATAACAATAAGAGTATCTTAAGAGGTATCACAATTGCTGCTTTCAGGTTACACTGTAGAGCCATGGTAACAAAAACAGCATGGAACTGGCATTGAAACAAACCTATAAATCAGTGGAAAAGAAAATTAAGAAATAAACACAACTATAGCCACCTGATACTTGAAAACGATGCCAAAATATGCATTAGAGAAAAGACGAGCCTGTTCAACAAGTGATGCCAGGGAAACTGGATAGCCACATAGAAGGAGGGAAACTGGATCCCTGTCTCATCCTGTACAAAATCAATTCAGCATGGCTCAGAGATCTCAGTGTAAGAGGCAATGGTCTCTATGTTAAAGGAAAACATACAGAAAATGCTCCATGAGGTAGGAGTATGCAAAGACTTTCTGAAAAGGGCTCCAGCAACTCAGGAAATAAAATCAGCAACTAACAAGTGAATTAACAAGTGAATTTAAAAAGCTTCTGTACAGCCAAAGGAAATAGCTGAGTGACAGGACAACCTTCAATATGGGAAAGAAGTTTTGCTGGCTGTGTATCCAAAATATTAATGTCTACTTATATCAGAAACTCACAAAATTAAGTTCCAGAAAACCAAACAATCCAGGGAATAACTGGGCTAGGGAACAAGGAGAGGGCTCTCAAATGATGAAGCACAAATAGCCAATAAATGTGAAAAAATGTTTTACACCCCTAACATTATAATTGCTTTGAGATTCCATCTCACCCTAATCAGAATGGCCATCATTAAGAAAACAAGGAGCAGGCACTTGGCATGTAGTGCAGGTGGGATAGTGCTTACCTAGTGTATATAGGAAGTTCTGGGTTTGAGTCTCAGCACTGCATAAACACAAACAGGGTAGCACACAATCCCAGCACTTGGGAGGTGGCGTCAGGAGGACCTGAAATGCAAGGTCACCCTTGCTGTAAATTGCAGATGGCTCAGCAGGCAACTTTCACAAAGTCTGCTGGCCTGAGTGCAGTCCCCAGGACCGCATGGTGGAAGGAGAGAGCCCTCTGACTTACACATAGGCGCTATGCAAATAGATAAATAAGAAAATCAAAAAGGAAAAAAGTGGAACTACCATATGACACAGCCATACACTTCCCGTGTATACTTGCCAAACTGTAAGTCAATGCACTACACATACATGTTTATTGAAGCCATATTCATGAGTCAAGTTAAAGAATCACCCTAGCTCTCCATCAACAGATGATGGACAAAGAAAGTATGCTACATATGCATAATGAGTTTTATTCACCCATAAAAAGGTAACATCGTTTACAGGGCAGTCAACTGGAGATGACTGTACCAAGTGCAATAAGCCAGACTAAAGACATCACGAGTTGTCTCTCACTTCTAGATCCTAGATTTTCTATAAATATGTAAGATTGTTTGCAGACACATGTGTAGGACATGAAAGGAAGAAGAAGGCATTCTGTTGGTAGGAAGGGAAGTAGTGGGCATGGGGGCAGGGTGGGGAGCCAGGAGGCTGTGAGTATGGGCAGCAGGCTTGGTCTGCTGGGGTGAAGATGTCTTTATGAAACCTGTCACTATGTACAGAGTATATGCCAACAAAAACTTTTAAGCAAGTATTTCTAGATGAAGAGAGTTAGTCTTTTGGATGTTCTTTGTTTGGGCTTCTGAAAATATGCCATGTTAAATGTTCCCCCCCTCACCTGCCCGGGCATGAACAGACTGTACTGTGTGACCCTAGACAGGGAGAAGGAGATCATCCGCCAGGCAGCTCTGCAGCAGACGAAGGAGATGGACTTGAGTGTGGTGCGCCTCATGTTCACAGCCTTTCTTCCTGACAGCACCGGCAGCTTCACCCGGAGACTGGAGCCCGTGGTGTCAGACGCCATCTACGACAGCAGTGAGTCCCCATCCTGAGGCAGGGCAGCTGCATCCAGCTTCACCAAGATCAGACCTCAGCCCCCACCTCAGCACTGACTAAAGAGCTGTGGCCTGTAGACAGTGAGTCAGTCACCTGCAGCTCTAGTGTACCGTCCACAAAGTGTGATACCGCAGCCTAGGGTAGAGGGCTGGTGTCCATTTGGCATCTTAAGCCTTCCAGCCAATGAAAGGCTCTTCCTTCAGAAGGCGTATTATATTCTCTACATGTAACACCAGTTTCTTCCTTCTGAACACATGACTGTAGGATAGATTGCTGGTGCTCTTTAAAATGACCTTGTTTTTTGCCCCTGGCAGGTCAAAAGAGAAATTAATAAATGACAATTACTATTTTTAACTGTCTTTATTCCCACTTGGTAAAACATTCATTGAGACAGGAACTTCGGGGTAACTGAAGAAATGGTATGTCAAAATTCTCTTTCAGTCTGTAGATACTAGAATGTGGAGGAATTCCAGTAGCCTTTAGCATTTACTGTGTAACTCTGTTGGGCTTAATAAATGGAACCCTGCAAGTACAGTAACCCGATTGAAAGATTGTAGACTATGAGGTACTAGAAAAACCCATGTTCCCATCCGTCAGCTAGTTGACTTGTCGGATTTAAACAAGGGGAACGAGAAGTGAAAAGTTTATCAAATGAAAAGAGCCTTACTAAACAGAGAACCTTGAAATGCAGCTGTTGGAGTTTTTAAAGGGGAAGCTTCATATTGCTTGCTGGTACAGGCAGCTTTGCCCCAAACCACACCGAATGCTAATTTAGTTTTGGAAAAGGAAATAGAACATCTTCATTTTTCTTTGTAGAATTAAAAAAAAAAAAAGTAGCCTAACAAATGTACTTGCCTTAAAAAAAAAAAATAGGACTTTTGTAAATGACATAAAATTAGCATGACACGAGCCACTGGACTTGCACATCAGGAAAACTTCCTTCCCAGTCTATGTGTTAGGAGAAACCGAATGCCATCATCCGTTCCTCGCCTGCCCCCTTCGCCTCACCTGTTTGGGAGATAATGAGTGGCCCAGGCCCAAGTGCTGCAAGGACTTTGGCAGCTATTCAGGCTCTACTAGTGTCTTTGTAAAGCAGTAGGAGTGAGCTCATCCATCGAACTTTGTGAAACCAGGGCTAAACTAGGGTGCGACTTGTTTTCTCCCTTTGAACAGAGGCCCCCAATGCATCCAACCTGAAAATTGTACGGATGGACAGAACTGCAGGATGTGTGACTGGAGGAGAAGAAATTTATCTTCTCTGTGACAAGGTTCAGAAAGGTACGTGTACACCCAGTCTCCAGAAATGCACTTGTCAGGGTTCCCTGGGCCTTGCTCATAGTGGACCAGGGGTGTCCTCCTGTTTGCTGTGGGACCTCTCAGGAACATTTCCAAGTGTACAGTGTGTTGTTTTTGTAAGCCTGAGTATATAGTTCAGTTTCCCACAGAAGTAAAAGGATAGATATTATACCAAGAGCCGTTCAGTGTACTGATAATACTTAAACTTTGTTCCTTTGGTACTCAATTAAACTAAAGTAACTGTTATTTTCTGAGATCTACATAAAATAAAATTACAGGTCCTGCTTTCCATTCTGCGCTGGGTTGTAATGTGGAGAGAGCTCCCCCAGTCCCTTCCATGTGTCAGTATGACGCCCAGTGGGAAAGAGAAGGACGACACATAGACGGTCCTCAGCATACTTCTCCAGTTTGCACTTTCAGAAGTCCTTAATGTTTACTGTCACTACATATAGCAACACTGGGGCATTAGTAAGAGCTGAAGGAGAAGTTACCTTCCCAAACTTCATTTTAAATAAAACTACAAATAAATATTCTTTATTTAGCAACACTGGGGCATTAGTAAGAGCTGAAGGAGAAGTTACCTTCCCAACTTCATTTTAAATAAAACTACAAATAAATATTCTTTAAACAAGTTTGCTTAGACTGCTGTCTTAGGGTTTCTGTTGCTGTGATAAACATGTAATGATCAAAACCAACTTGGGGGGAGGATATTTTATCTCTCAGTTTATAGTCCATCATCCAGGGATGACAAGACAAAACTCAGGACAGGAGCCAGCAGGCAGGATCGGATGCAGGGGCCATGGAGGAGCACTACCTCCTGGTTTGGTCCTCATAGCTTGCTCTGCCTGCTTTAACAACCAGGACCACCTGTCCAGGGGTAACACTGCCCACAGGGAACTGGGCCTTTCTGTAGTTGACTCTTTTTAACTCTTTTGCTCTTTGGGGGTCCACCACCCAGCTCCCAAATGGAGGCTAATTGTTTGTTTGTTTGTTTGTTTGTTTATAAATGTCCAGCCTTGGCTTGTTTCTTGCCAACTTTTCTTAAATTATCCCACCTGTCTTTTGCCTCTGGGCTTTTACCTTTCTCTATGTCTATATACCTTTCTTTCCTTCTTACTCCATTTGCTGGCTTTGTAGCTGGGTGGCTGGGCCCTGATGTCTTATTCTCCTTGTTCTCTCATTCCTTCTTCCTTATTTCCTCTTTTATTCTCTCTGCCAGCCCCCGCCCCCATCTATGCTCCTGCCTCTCTATTGGCCATTCAGCTTTTTATTAGGACCACCAGGCGTTTTAGGCAGGCACAGTAACACAGCTTCACAGAGTTAAGCAAAAGTCACACACCTGAAAATAATATTCTGCCATACAATCTATTTCATACTGCCACAGTGACTTGGCCACACAGCGTTCCCCCTACAGTCTTCATTAAGAAGATGTGCTCAGAACCCACCCTTGGGTGCCAGACCCTGCCCTGGGAGAAACAACTAGGAATGGCAAGCCACACCTTGGAGAGACATGGTGTGGTATTCCCAGGCCCAGCCCTTAATGGCCAAGGCCATTTCCAGAATGTGAAGCTGGCCCCACACTTGAGTGTGCCAGACCTCCTCATTCCCTCCCAGAACTGGAAGACTTCCTAATGAAAGATGCCACCAGAGGGTGAAACATAACTTGTCACCAAACATGGTCCTGGCTCTGAGGTATCTGTGCATGAGATCCCTCTGCCTAGAGGAGGTGCTGAGTCACAGGAGCTTGTAGCCCCCTCTGTGAGCCATGTTGGTGGTTATGCAGAGGTGCCAAAGAACAGAAAACCTTGTGAGAAGTGCTGTTAAAATGGTCAGCATTTGTAGTGACCCATGAGTTTACGCCACACTGTACAACGAAAATAAAAGCATGATAAGCTGAATGTTACTATCACAATACGGTTGCAGTTTCCTGTCACATGCATAAGTAAAATGAAAAGGGTAAGAGGTGGGATAAAGGGAGACAGACCATGAGAATGACAGGTGTTCTACTAAATCTAGGATAGACCTGTCTATCCAAAGTAAAGAATTGGGCCAGATAATGAGATAGTTTATTCAATTCATATATATACATATATACATATATATGTATGTATATATATGAGATCAATATATATATAATATATATGTATATATATATATGTATATATATAAGCAATATCAACTTTCACCAGTCAGTAGTATGGTCCTTCATATGCACTGAGAAGTACATGTCATATTTCTACAGAACTAGAGTCCATGACTAGAGAGTAACAAACAAACAAACCAACGTGGTTTCATCATAAGAAGACATGGCCATCATGGTACTTAAACCAGTTGCTTGATAGGGCATGAGGAAGCAATGTGTGGAGGTGGTCCAGTAGAGCATGTAAGAGCTAGGACTGGGCATCCATGATGTTTACATCCTGAGTCCTTCATCTGTTAGCTATTCAACCTTAGATAACCTACTGAAGACACAATCTGGGGCTGACAAGATGGCACAGAATTTAGTAAAGGCACTTGCTGTCAAGCCTGACAACCTTCGTTCAATCCCCAGGATCCACACAGTGGAAGGAGAGAGCCACCTTCCATTAATCCTCTGAGCTCTGGATGTGCTCCTGCTATACATGGGTATTCCCACGCATGTGCACACACCCATAGACCCCGATTCTCGTCTGCAGATGAGGACAGCATTAGTATCCCTACATCGCAGGACTGGTTTGAGGACTAGATGAGTTAACATTTAAGATAAAGCACTTAGGACAGCATCTGCCGTGTGGGAAGCTTCATTTATTTCAAGTTTTACAATGGACATCTCCATACTGGGTTGAGTTACACCTACGGGTTCTGTTACTCTTCCATCCTTCAAGTTTCCCAGAAGTGAACTAGTTTAAGTGTGGAACAGTGGGAAGTTCATATGTTGACAAAGACAAAGCTTAATGGACTGGGTAAATATAATACTCATACCACTATGAGTAAATGGTAGATTCCCTTTCCTGGAGTAAATAATGTGTAAAGAGTCTGATCTGTGAAACTTTAAATGGTGCAAATCTGCTCCGAATTCTTTTCAAAGCATTTACATTTAAGTGAGACAGAGTTATATCCTGCCTGTATTTGCTAGCATGCTCGTCAACATTATTACACCCGTTGCAATCACGTGCCTGAATGTGACCATTTGCAGATGACATCCAGATTCGGTTTTATGAGGAGGAAGAGAATGGTGGGTTTTGGGAAGGATTTGGAGACTTTTCCCCCACGGATGTTCACAGACAGGTAGGTGGGTTGTCACCGGTCTAATTTCAGTACTTGTTCTGCCTTGATGAAATTCAGTGCTCCGTCTCCACAGATTGAAAAGGAAACCACCATAAGTCTCTAACATCAGTACAGCAATGCTATTTTTATGGCTCTTCCAGAGGAGTACCTTACCATAGAACTGCGGGCAAGGTGCTGCTAGAATATTGGCTCAGGGAGCCTGGCATGGTGCCTCATTTGGTGTCTGTTGTTCAGGTCCTGAAGGCAATGGCCCCAGTTCCTCCCATGAAAATGTTTAGGTATTGACCATTCCAGCAAAGCCTGGGAAAAAAGGAAATGTACTGAGGAGTCTGAAGGCTGAGGCGGATGCCACTCTGACGAGCCAGGGTCTCCAACGGCCCCTCATTAATAGTCACTCTTTGAGGGTGACTGAGGAATGATGTTTTTCAAGAAATTATCGACAGCCCAAACATTCACCAGTAAATGGCTAGATAATGGGGTGCTTCTATGTGGTGAAATGTCATGCAGTCATTAGAAAAAGGGCGTCTGTGGATGAACAGAGACCTCAAAGTAGAATGCTGAGACTTGTAAAGATTGATTGAGAACATAGTGTATACAAAACAATTCAGGGTTCACATGCACAGGAAGCCAGAGAAAGTAACCGCAGAGCCCCCCAGGAATCTGCACTGAATAGGTACATGGATCGGAGGTAGGGAGGCAAGAAGAATTCTCAGTGTGTGCCACTGTATTCCTTCTGTGTTTTAGGAAATCTTGATCCTTGTGAATATAAAGATAGAAAAAACAAAACTAAGGATGCCCGGTACCTAACTGTCCCAGAACTACCCAGAATTAACACATGTTGCCTCCAGCACAGCACTGCTTTCTGTGGCATGGCCGGCTACAAGCTGACAGTGGTACTTCTGGTTCCATTTGCTTCCAAACCCAGCCCTTCACACACTGCTCTGAATGATCTTGGAGGCCTTTAAGGCTAATTTGAAAGAGAAATAACTAAGATGTGTTAATTAAGATAATTAACCGGCATACTGTTGTGTTTTACTTTCATGGGGGCAATATAATAAAAATGTACGCTGGGCCACGATGGCGCCCGCCTTTAATCCAGCATTTAGGAGGCAGGCAGGTGGATCTGAGTGAGTTCCAGGATATCCAGGACTATTACAGAGAGAAACCCTGTATGTGCGTAACATACTGACTGGAACTTTGCCAGGGGCTGGGTCTTAGCACACTTTTTTTAAGCTTAGAGTACAAATGTATGCATCGGGAATGCGCCTTCTGCTCACCCCCACTAGACAGCAAATGTACTACACCAATGTTTGGGTTTTTTGTCCCCTGCAGTTTGCCATTGTCTTCAAAACTCCAAAGTATAAGGATGTCAACATTACAAAACCAGCTTCCGTATTTGTTCAGCTTCGGAGGAAATCGGATTTGGAAACTAGTGAACCGAAACCCTTCCTCTACTATCCTGAAATCAAAGGTACCTGGGTTGTTTAGACTCTTGGCGCTTGCTCTGAAAGCTCAGCGGCTCACCTCCTTTACACAGCCTCCTAGACAGTGCTGCCTGGATGTAAAGTGCTTAATTTTTAGAGACAAGAAGGTACTGGAATTAGTCCCAGTTGCTTATAATACTGTGATTGCTGCCAAACTTGTATGAGATTTAGACATTTGGCAACTTACCTTTGAATATTAAAATTTAGTATTGAGCCGGCTAGATGGCTTAATGGATTAAAGCACTTACCACCGAGCCTGAAGACCTGAGTCTGAGCTCCAAAGCCTGTGTGGTGAAAGGGGAGAACTAACTACCAAAAGATGAACTTTGACCTCCGCATGCATGCTGCAGCGTGTACACAGAAAGAGGAGGGAGGAGCAGTGAGAGAGAGGAGGAGGAGGGAGGGAAAGGAGAAGAAGAAAAAAGAAAGGCTCGAATGTGTTTTCAGCTACTCAACAGCCCATCAAGTATTAAACAGAAAACTCGGCCACCATACAGTGCAGAACCAGAAACAAAACAGTTACTATTCTTTTCCTCAGGACAAGTTCCAAGGACATATCAGGAAAGGTAGACTAGAATTAAAATGCAAATTGTGATTTGTTTGAGATGTTAGGCATCATCCTCTGGGCCTGTAGATGCTCGGCTCATGCTCCACCACTGAGCCGTGGCCCCAGTCTTCCAGTTACAGTAAGGCCCAACGCAAAGCATCCACAGACCACATGGAGTTGTTGAGGTGGTGGTAGGTTGTTTGGTTTTGCTTTGGTTTTGTTTATGTTTTTCTCTTTACTCTTTGGCTCTTTTGAGGCGCCTACCACCCAGCTCCCAAATAAATAAACATGGAGACTGATTCTTACTTACAAATGCCCGGCCTTAGCTTGGCTTATTTCTAACCAGCTTTATCTCATCTTTTACCTCTGGACTTTTAACTTTCTTCCTTCCTTCCTTCCTTCCTTCCTTCCTTCCTTCCTTCCTTCCTTCCTTCCTTCCTGTCTGTCTTTCTCCGTTGCTGGCTGGGTGGCTGGGCCCTGATGTCCTCCTCTTCTCCCTTTCTTGTTCCTCCATCTCTCTTGCTTCTTGATCTCCTCCCAGATGTCTCCTATTTAGCCCTTCTGCCTGCCAGCCCCACCTAGCCCTCTCCTGCCTCGCTATTAGCTATTGAGCTCTTTATTAGACCATCAGGTGTTTTAGGCAGGCAAAGTAACAACAACTTCACAGAGTTAAACAAATGCAATATAAGAGAATGCCCCACATCTTTGCATTATTAAACAATGTTCCACAGCATAAATGAATGTAACACATTTTAAAATATATTCCACAACAAGGAACCAGCCCTGGAACCTGTAGTCTAAAGAAGTCTTCAAAAAAAATGTCTTCTTCATTGAGAAGCCATTTGGAGCATTATTGAAGATGAATAGAAGTCAAGGCTCCCTCTATTTATAAAATAGATGCTCAGGGGCAGAGATGTGACAGGTGGTGTTATTCCTGGGAGAAGTGATCACTGTACGTGCTGAGATGGACTGAGGAGGGCTAAGGCAGGTAAGGGAGGCCAGGGCCAGGCTGTGTGTAGTATGAAGGCTTTTCCGTTGACTCTGAGTGATGGCTAAACCTGCCTGTACCCCTGTCTGGGATGACACGGTCAGAGTGACGCAAAAATCCAGAGGTGCTTCGGTGGGGTTAGAAGAGGTTCTGGTGCCTGGGGGTGAGCTCCCAGCAGACACTGCCACGGTGCTGCAGTGCAGACCTGGGCGGTGGGGGAAGGGAAGTGGAAGAGAGACTCAGAGTCACAGATGGTTCTAGCATTTCCAGCCTGGGAACTGACGCTGTGGTTAAGCGGACAGGAGGGTCAAGGGACGAAAGTCTGAGAGTGAAGGAAAAGCTCCGTGTGAAGGTGTTTCCGTGCAGGTCAGTGCAGGGTGGCAGCCAACAGAGGCAAGGGCCAGGTGGGTGGAAACTCGGCGATGAGAAGAACCCTGGCCCCACAGGGTTTAAGTGCAGGGACACGCAGTGCCACAGCCAGCCTCTTTGTACCTCTGTCTTCAAAGTTTTTTCTTGACATCCATGGTTCTGAGAGGAGATCCATAACTTGGAGGTTATACAAAGAACTAAGCTCCAACAAAACCAGAAATGTGTGGACCAGAGGGAGAGGTCAGCAGCAGACTGTCACCAGATACAGGGTCCTAGCTGAGGTTGGGAACCACAGAGGGGCAGCCACACCGAGCCCCCACCCTCACCCCCAGCCCTCGTTCCTTGAGGACAAAGTGTGACGTTGATCAAGAATCTGCAGTGGCAAAGCCATTTAGAAAGCGTTTCTGAGAGTACGTGTTTTTTTCTGAGGTATGACCACTGCTGGGTTAGATTTATGGTACGCCCATGGCTGGCCTACTTCCTCCCTTCCTTACTGGCCTGATGTCTTCTAGATCCTTCTGTCCACACAAGGCAATGTGAAAATCCATGCTTTGCCTGAAGCCCCTGCCCTCTGAAAACAGGAGGAAATAGTTATTTTTTTTCTGAGGAAAGAAATAGAATTTATCTCCTGAAATATGCCTTCAAAATAATGTCATCTTTGCTGATGCAAAATCATGAGAAAAAAGAAACACACACACACACACACGATGTGAGTGAGCCTAGAAATGTTCCGAGCTTGACTCCAAGCCCCACTTTCTGGTGCTGTCTGCATCAGAAAAGAACACGAGTAAAGGCCCAGCTTCCTCGGCTCTCCACCTCAGCAGAGGCAGGGCTGTCTAACGCCTGGCTTAGCAGATGGAGTTCATTGACAACCTTCAGTCACACCATCCAGGTCGTCATGAATACAAATACAAATAAAGCTCCATAGAGCACAAACACTGTAAAAATTATCTGCAGAAGTAGAAGTGGCCGCTGACCTCCAAGGAAAGAATGGCTGCCGTGCATAGCTACGATCAACTTACTATATTAGAACTCAAGGAGAATAGATTTCCTTGTTTCATTTTTTTAAAACATTCTAGATTTTTTAAACTATTTTATTTTTCTAACGTGTAGGCACCAGTGTTTTGCCTGCATGTATGTCTGTGTACCACATGCATGCCTGGGGCTTGAGGAAGCTAGAAGGGGGTTTCAGATGAGTTACGAGTTACCATGTGAGCACCAGTGTTACCATAAATCTTTCCGCCAAAAGCCGCCTGAGCCCCACGGCCACGTGTGAGCTTTATGCCAGCCGCCTGCCTGAGTTAGGCCCAAATGAATACACAGAAACTTGTATTAGGTACAAAGCTGCTTGGCCAATGACTAGGATTCTCATCTGCTAGCTCAGTCTTAACTATCATAAATCTATATATGTTATAAGACTTATCTAATCGGACGCCATATTGGCGTCCCTCCTTGCCGGTGGATCACATCCTGCCGCTGGAGGAGG